TTAAGGTGTTTAGGATTGACTTTGTCTTATGGATATTCTTCCGGAACTGTGAACGCGAAACTGGCGACTCAGAGTGTATGTGAAAGCTATAGTCAGAACAAGGCATCTTGACCTGAAAATTTACTTGTTTCTAATCGTGAAAACAATTCGACTGATAAAATAATTAAACAAATTGTTGTGTTTAAATGGAACGCACAAACATGCTGACTAGTACTGCGTTCAAGCAACAATTTGATTGATCGTGTTTGGTTATAATTCTCATGTAGTCATGGATCATCCGTTTTATTGATTGCTGAACTCGGATCGCGTCTCCGTCCAATATTTACCAGCTTCCAATACTGGACTCTCCGTGTTCAACTCGATATTTATGGTGTGAAGATTGGACGGTCGCCACCAAACTCAACTGAATGATAGTTAAGAATTGTTGTGTCGTAGTTGTTTTCATAATAACAACAATAATCACAACGACGTTCGTTATGAACAAGAACATTGTGTAAAACACCAAAGTCCGTTATTAAAGTCTTTCAGATCTTGATTGGAATCTCGAACCGACTGATGTTAGACCGCAACTGAAAACCTGTGAGCACTGGATGGTCGTTTCTTCTTATTGTGGGACTCCTTAGCAATGCGCATCCACGACTTCACTTACGTGATTCGAACCCAGTTCCTTCATTCTCACGCGCGAATGCTTGACCTACTGGACCACTGAGCTGGCATCCAACAGTGTTAATATCTAACCTCAACCAATCTACGAAACTGAGCGACCATCTTCCATTGTATCGTGGACACGCACTGCTGAGGAGTCCCACAATATTACGAGACGGCCGTCCAGTGCTTACAGGTTTTAAATGATGGTCTAACATCAATCACTTCAGGATCTCAATAATAATAACTTAGTAATTTCCACACTTCTATGCGGATCATCTAGATCTATTAAAACCCAAACATTATATGACGTCTCATACTTTTGAATAAAATAGTGTTCACAAGCTAATGTCAAACATTAGGATTTTTTAAGCTTCCGGACAAAATCAAACAGTAATTTATATTGGTTGTTACGGGAGTTAAGGTCTGAAAGAACAAACTATTCACAATGTTTATAGGACATAAAACATAAGTATTTTATATGTGATTAATGTGTTTCTTTATTGAGATTTTATCTAAAACGTTTCTAGTATTAGACGTGACATCTTAACTGCAGCTTTATTTCTCTGTAATTTGAAACCTAAAGACAAACTATGTATGTGCGAATTGTATTTCTAAGATCAGTTGGACAACTTCGGCATCTGTAGTAAACAATGAGTTTATAAAGCGCCACTACATAATATGCTTCCGATAGATAATTCAATGTTGAACAGTGAAACCTATGACAAAAGTACTAGACTGATATCTGATCTAAGGTATCACCGTGGTGCTACTGGGTAGTAGAAACATTTTGTTAACTAACTTGAGCGGTTGGAGGAGATCGGACATATCCACCACTCTACTGTAAACCAGATTAATTGAGTTCCATTCTAGAGGTTCTCTGAAATCTTGTGAGCTGCTCGATGTGTATGCTTATGTCTGTGAGCTGTACAAGTTTTGGCTTGTGTGATTTATGTGCTAAGGTTTATCCAAAGGGAACGCGTCTAGGTTGGCACCAGGGACGTGAGATGAAAAATGCCTCCTTGCTCATATGTCCAATAAAATCAGCGGTCTAATCTTTCAGATGAAAGACAGTAGAAAACATGGTAACAAATACTAGAAAGAGATGAATATCAACCTTTCCTGAAAGAGTGCTCATGCTTATATGTATGTCAAGAAGTGCAGAAGTAACCGTCTGTATACCAATGATATGCATGTAATGCATAAGTAACAGTTAGATGTAGCAAATACGTCCAAAGAGTGTGGTGATTATCTATTCTCCCATGTGAGTGAATATATAAATACATATGTTATGAAATTCATGAGGGAAGACTTATGTGATACTAGTGTGCATGTAACGTATATTCCCTTACAAGGTCAGTGTACTTATGTGTTCGCCAAGAGATTCATGAATGAAAACTTATGTGTTACCGGTATGCATGTAGATTATGTTTGTACATGTTGCGATGCTTGTGTGCCAATACATGGGAGTAACGATTTTCTCACAAAATCACATCCACGTGATGTATTTGTGAGTCTTCGGAAACGGAAACCATTTCCAAAGAAGCAAATGGGCTCCACCAGATAATGCTTGATCAGCCCGAACACAGCTTAGACATCTCTCTGTGTTAATTTTTTAAATAGTATAACTGGATTTAACAAAACTCATTTGATTTCATTCTCAAACAAACAATCAATATATGTGATGTTCCTTCTTATTATCGATTTTTATTCTGAACTCACTGTGTGCGACTACTTGTAATCACATTGATCAAAGTATTCTCTAGTATTAAACTGATTCTCTATTTCGTATCGTAAATCATGATTCTAATACAACATGATTGGTCTTATAAACGTATTAACGTATCACCATAATATACGTGTAAGGGAGGAAAATAATATTGTAAATCATAGGTTATATCACAGTGTATTATTGTTTTAGCCATCAGAGGAATTTCATTCTCAAGATTTGAGTTTTTGAGTTTATATGGCACAATTTATTGATTATTTATATAAATAGATACCTCAAAATGAAAAGTACATGTGGATATAATAACTAGTAATTTAGCAATCGAATTCATGAATCAATTGACGTTAGACTATCATGGAAGACTACCTGAAAACACTGGACGGTTGTTTTATCGTAGTATGAGACTTTTCATCAGTACACATCCACGATCTCACTTCATCAGATTCAAACCCAGGACTTATCGATCTCTCATGTGGATGCTTAACCTTTAGACCATTGAACCAGCTAGCATCCAACGGTATTAATTGAAATAATTCGTTGATTAATTCAGAAACATCATTGATTAAATCGAATGAGAAATTAGAAGTAATCAATATTCAAACCTCATTACATAATAACAATAATAATAATAATAATAATAATAATAATAATATACATCAAGATTGTGAAATTCATCAATTCAATGATAGATCTAAAAATCGATTACATAATCAAAATGATATTCAAGAATTAAATATTAATCCTACTATATATCCGGTGCATTAATAACTAACTATGTAACTTTGAATGTATATTATATTGTATTGTATTAACTTATATTTCTTGTTGATTGAGATCATGAACTGATTGATGTTAGACCACCATTGAAAACCTGGAAGCACTGGATGGCCGTTTCATCCTATTGTGGGACTCCTCCTTGACAGTGCACATCCACGATTGGTTGAGGTTAGACGTAAACACCGTTGGATGCCGTCTCAGTGGTCCAGTATGTTAAGCGTTTACGAGCGAGACTGAGGGCCCTGAGTTCGAATCCCGTGGGTGGGATCATGCTTCTGGTGACATTGGATGCTACGCTGTAACCAACTGTCATGAACATCTCGGTACTAAAGTATGATAGCTGATTATCGAAATTCTCAATGCCAACCACTGAAATTATAGAACTGGACAGAGCAATTTCAAATTCCTCACCAATCATTATTTCGCAAGTCAGAAGACTAGTGGGAAGGTATCTTATTCCAAACAATACAAAACGCTCAGGTATTTCTAGATTTTAGTGAAAATGAATGGGGGCCAATGAATCATGATATCAGCTAAATAAGACGCCGCTCCTGGAATATTCTTTACCTTGACGTCCATAATTTACTGGATTCCATCTTTACTTCAAACGCCAGTTGGTTATATCAAAACAGACCCTTGTGTGTGTTGATCGTTAGGAGATCTTTACTTTCATCCGCTACAGGAATCTGTAAATAGCCGCCCGATAAATTCAATTTTGCAAATTACTTGCCACCATTCAGCTTGGCGAAGAGATCTTCAGGTTAAGGTAAGTATTTCTGGTAAGATTCTAGAGCTTCATTTAGTTCGGCAGGGTAATCTTTACATAAGTGAACGCTACCGTTTAATTTATTGACAACCAATATCGGTGCAGCCTAAACTGAGAAGTTCACAAGTTTGATAGCATTCATTTTCTGTAGCTGTTCTAGTTTCCGCTCAACAACTGGGAGAGCAGCATTATATACGGTTCTTTAAGGTCTAAAAATGTGAATAGCTCCAGATTCAAGGGTTAGTAATGCTTTACTTTCGTAAATTTTGTAAACATGTTGTGGTATCTTTGTAACGTGGAGATTTTCTGGTTCATCTTTAAGGAGTTATCAGTTATGACGTGGCTGCAGGTCTTGTTAATCGAATGATCTGCCAGTTCTAGTGCCTCAATCAGATAAGATCACAATAGATCAAATGCTGGATACTGTGTAAGGTGTATTGTCGCACTGGTTGTTGCAGTAGCGTTAGAAACAATGCAGGATACGTCTCCAACAACATTTAGCTTTCCACCAGATGGACTATGTGTGCTAGTTGCGTCGTCGAGCGAACTATGGGTCTACTAATATTCTTCCAAGTTTCTGGTAAGAGTAATATGAGGCGCCGTATCAAGTTGAAAACGAATACGGTATTTAATAATGTTCAAAGTTATATATTTTCTTTTTCGGTAAATTCATGCTCGGTTAGTAGAAGGACAAAATGGCTTTAATTAGCACAGTTAAACAAAACCACGCTAAAACAAGCACTGGTACAGTTGGTTATACTAATGATTGTTTTCAATAAACCATTCATGTTCTCGTGATAAATGTGGGTAACTGCAAACTCACCAAATGATCGTCTGTATAAAATAAAAGATTCTGCATGACACCAATGTTTTAATTGACATGATGGTAATTCTCAAACAACATCATCAAGCAGCGTGATCAACAATACAAACATAGCCACGTGACATGGAAATTAGCCATGTCGCCTATCACAATGATAATTTAATTCTCGTCTGAACTTTTGACCCCGATAAATCCGATTTTTCGAAATCTCACATCTACTGAAAACTGTATAAATACGTCAGTCGACCAATTCATCTCAAGAACAAAACGAAAAAGCAATGTCATCTAATTTGATGTTTCTCATTGCTTTATTGTCATACACATTGATAAATCAATTAGGCATAACCAAAACACATCCATGCAAGTATTGTCTACGATTGTACGATGGAAAGTATCAGAATGGTTCATATACTGATTTGTACAAAAGCGTTGGCTCACTCTCACCACCATGGATACCTGGATCTGTTTGTGGACCTGTGAAGAATGCGACGATGGGACAGCCCCCATACTGGCGTTTATATGAGTAGGTTACCAGATCGATTCATTTTTATGATTATGTGTAATGTCTATGTTTTGCCTGTTTCATGCACGTTCTAATTTGCTTGTAAGTGGACACTTAACATTGATGTTCAAGCATTTGTGTCACTTTTTATTTGTTCACAGAGGCGTCAACTACTCTGGTAAGGACACTGCTATTGGACATAGTGCCTGTATTGATGACTTTATGAAGTCCGGATCAAATGGAACTTATAAGAATAATGGAACGGTTTAATATATCAATGAATCGAACAGTGAAAATTAATATGGTCGATACTACTCGAGGAATTTCATGTGCCTATAATTGTTGTGTGCTCTTAACTAAATATATGCATATGAACTCTGGATATCTGTATTCTGAGAGGTTCCAAACATTGTGCAGTAGTTGGTAAACATTGGCACTTCACGTCCACGGATATATGCGATTAAATCTGTGTGGACATATGCTAAGTTTGAAGCTCCCATGTGTTCACTTTATCTGCGAACGATAAACAATACTGAGTGACCAATTAGCAGTAAGCTAGCTATTGATATATATATATATATATATATATATATATATATATATATACATCGATATTGACATGGAAATTTTTTAAACATTTATTCCATAAGAATAGTTTAGTTAATTAACAATTATACGGTGAAAATAAACGTACAGTTTTGGTACATAAATGGCTCTCACTACATTTTCATCGGTTCATGATTTCAATCAAGTGATATTATATGTTGAAGAAAGCTTTCGTGTACAATCAAGTTAATCAGAGGCATGCGATAGTTGTCTGGTGTGTGCTACTTTTATTGACATAAGTAGTATATGATGTTTGTCGTAGACAAAAGGTCTGGAAGCAGAGAGACAAGAGAATCGAACGGTAAAGAATGGAAACAAAATGCAATTCGTAAGAAGATGCAAGAACAATGAAGTCTGAGTCGTTTCGAGACAATCGATGGTCATTTTGCAAATTAAGCATTTTACATTAAGATTGCTAAATTTTATTGACAATTCCTGTTATTTTGTGTTAAATACATTCGAATGTCCGCACTGGTGTTCTTGTTCACTACAGTTCTACGTGGGGGGTAGTGATATTTCTTATGCAGATATCATAATACAAGGTCACTAACCAGAAAAACAACTGCCATGACCTTGTTTTATGCATAACCAATGATGTCAATCACTATCAGCCTTGAGTAAGCTGTGAATACTTATTAGTCCTCTGTATATTAACTTCTCGCCTGGCCTTCTCAGTTCAAAACAGCCCACGCTATATCAATCGCATATCTCAGGCATATGTGGTTTATGTGCAAGCAGATTAGACCACATCACACGAATAAAATGGAAAACATAATATTATACCAAGCCAAGCCGATAGTGAGTGTTAGTTTAAGAGACTGTAACTAATATGTTGGGAATAAACTAAGAATAGTAAATCATATAACAATAGCCAATAGAACAAAACACAGTAATAAACCAAGTAATAGTTAACCTTATAAGAAAACAAAATGTGTGAAATTGTTGATGTTGCTAACACTAATAGATTTCAGTGACAAACGAAAATTGTGACTGAATTTCATGAATAACTCAATTGGAAAATATTCATTTTCTTTTGAATGTCAATAAATACTTCTAAGAATGGGGTTTTGTGGAGATTGCAGTAATTTGGTAGTTGAATTCATGAGTCAATTGAAACTAGACCACCATGGAAAGCCTGGAAACATTAGACATCTGTTTCATTCTAGTAATGGACTCTTCAGAAGTACGCATCCATGAGTCCGTTTGTGGGATTCAGAATCAGGACTTATTGGTATCGCGTGTGAACGTTTCTCTTGTAGACCACTGAGTCAGACAGCATCCAACAGTGTTAATGTTTAACTTCAAACAATCCACCAAATTGCGCCACCGTCCACCATTGTCTTGTCAGTTATTATCTCACAACAGACCTGGTTGAACTCCATTGGTCACTGCATCACACTAGAACTTGAGGAAATACCTCTTGAAGTCAGTCACTAGTGTGCTCATGATGATTAATATCGCAAATCAATTGGGATACTACATAAAATAATGAAGATTCTCAAAACATACTGCTGTTTTTACAAAACTCTTGCTTGGTATCTTCAGTTCAAACAAAAGTGAACTGTACAACTATTCAATCGTTAATAACTATTTTCATATCCCAATGAGTAGAAAACTGTACTTCTGATGTTTTGTAACTTAATGTAAGCCACTTCATCAGAGTGAATAAATAACCTGTCATATCCTAATGCAGATTGAATTACGAGTAACTTCTGAGATCTATTAATGGACTAATATTCTACATATATGTATTCTTATTGTATAACTATTCAATAACTAGATTGTGTATATCTATATTCTTCTTATTATAAACTTCATTTTAACTTATATGATAGTGATTAATTATCTTATGTGAAACATGGAACATCATACTTAATTAATTCAAAACTTGCGCAACTACCTAATACTTACTATACTTAATACATGCTTTATATGGTATAAGTTAAGTAATTCCCTGATTAAGATGACATCTTTTTAGATTCAATGATATCGAAGGACTGACGTGACTCCAGCCATTCTGCAATCTGATACCAAGATGTGTCTTGTTAGATTGTTTTCTTCCTTGTTTTTCTGGTATTCGTGCATTTGTAAACATCAGATTACATGTATAACTTATTTTGTTGATGAATCCTTTGAACTATCGTTTGCTGTTTACATTTAGGAGCTGAATAAAATTTCTACATTGCTTTTGTTGCTTCTAATCTATGGCTAATAGTAGTAGTACGATTGCATAAATTAGTTCTAATAGGACTTCTGTAGGCCTGAACATTCTTTCTCGACATTAATTGCTTGATCAAACTTTCTACAATTAAAACGAAATCAAACAAGGCTTCAACGATTTCCAACTAGTAAGTAATACATATAAGAGTTCTCTTACTACGTACAACAGCGAGGTGAAAAGTCATACTAAACTATGAAAGAACTTATGTATTGTTTTTAAATCCACGTTTACGATAGAGAGATCCTTACGCAGTCCCACAATTATTTAAAAATTGTAAGAATGTGTAATTATCCTACAATGTAGGTCAAATATCTGGGTTTTGACTCTATGCTTTGAGTTACTTTACGCAGAAGTTATTATGCGATATAGTCTTTCGAGATGATGAACAAACATTTATGTTCCATACGATTTACGATATGTGATCCATTCTGTCGAAAATTACAGATGAAGAGAAAGGAAACACAGCTTCCTCAGTACAAAAACTGCCAACATTGTATAATGTAGGCAAATATGCGACGAACGGTTTTCACAATAACGTCAATGTCAGTGACGTCTAGAAAATGAATTCTAGGATTCTAAAATTCACCATATAACTAAATATTAGTAGATTGACTGTTCTCAGTATGACATGTTTAGTTTATCACGTCAGAGTAGGTTGTTGAGAGAGTTTTACTCAAAGTTTGAGATTCTCCATCGAAATGATATTGTCATACAACAACTAGATGAACTATATGAAGAGCAACTGGAAGTTGTATGCAACGGTCCTACGTACAATACGAATAAGGAAATACGACAAGTTACTTCATGAATGTTTCTGTAGAAATTCATTTTTTCCAGCCTGTGATCATGAATTACTGTGGAGAGAAAGACTGAAGAACACATTTTGCCGTGCAATGGAGACAGACATGAGAAGAATGAACAACAACTGGATAAAACTAGGAAGGAAGTCTCAGGACAGAATGGATTGCAGAATGCTGGTCGGCGGACTATGTTGCATTAGGGATAACAGGTGTAAGTAAAGTATCAGTTTGTAGATCAAAAATGACATGTGAAAATAAGTTGATAAGCTGGTTGATACTGTCTTTGTTATTTTCTTACTTAGGTTATTTTGTGTATTATGACAGAGTACGTCTAAACATTCAGCAACCATTCATCTCTAAAACGCCGTGAGGTATAGTTGGTGTTTTGAAATATTCGTTATCATTGGAGCATTACTAAATCAATCAATCTGCACATTAATAGATAAGTAATGTAGGCCCACAAATGTAACTGGATAATGAATGGCTGTGCTGAAATGAATGACTGTGTTATTTCACATCACATTCATGACGAAAGTAGCTTTCTCGCGTCACATTATGGACACCTATGCATATGCGATTTGCATCGGTAATGTTAATGTGATCATTTCAAATCTAAGTTGAACAATGTAAAAAAGATCTTTCGAATTATCAAGCAAACTACATGCCTGTCATCCTGTAACGTCTCAGAAAACCAATTTCATGAGTTCATATGCATATATTTAGTTAAGAGCACACAACAATTATAGGTACATGAAATTTCTCGATTAGTAGCGACAATATTCATTTTCAATTTTCGATTCATTGATATATTAAACCATTCAATAATTCTTATATGTCCCATTTGATCCGGATTTCATGAAGTCGTCAATGCAGGCACCATGTCCAATAGCAGTGTTCGCACCAGAGTAGTTGACGCCTCTGTGAACGAATATGAAATGAAAGGTGACACAAATGTTTCAACATCAATCTTAAGAGTCCACTTACAAGCAAATTAGAACGTGCATGAAACAGGCAAAACATAGACATTACACATAATCATAAAAATGAATCGATCAGGAAACGTACTAATATAAACGTCAGTATGGAGACTGCCCCTTCGAATCATGTATCAAAGGTACACATACAGATCCAGGTATCCATGGTGGTGAGAGTGAGCCAACGCTTTTGTACACTTCAGTATATGGACCACTCTCATACGTTCCATCGTACAATCTTAGACAATACTTGCATGAATTTGATTTGGTTATGCCTAATTGATTTATCAATGTGTATGACAATAAAGCAATGAGAAACATTGAATTAGATGACATTGCGCTGTCGTTTTGTTCTTGAGATGAATTATTCGATTGACGCATTTATATATTCTGAGTTATTTTATGCTCACTATTCAGTGTGGAAATGAGTGCGATGACGTTCAGATCACCTCATTCTTCTCCGACAGTTTCAGATTCCAGCTGGCACACGGTATGCAAAATGAAGCATACATCAAACGAAAGCTTATATATTTTGTGAAATCACCAGTGACAATCCTAAATGTTAGTTTTTTGCAAACTGTGAATGTGATGAAATAGTCTTCACAAGAGCAGCTCCAGTTCATTTTCATCGGTCTCTTTAGTCCTCTGTTCACATTATTCAATAAGGGAATATTGTTACGTGAAAAGTTATAGCGAATTCATGATCTATCCCTTTCATCGTTTGTCAATTTATTGAAGGATACTGGAGTTAACTGAGTGTATCTGTGTATCACAATCTTGAGTTTGATTTCTAACAGAACATTAGTAATTTTTAAATGCTCGTGTTTCCTGTTTCAATGTTGCAGTACACACGGCCTTTTCTGAGTGCGGGAACTTCATTTTTTGATACAAGTCATGTTATGCGGAAAGCACTTGAATGAATTTAGCATACTGATACTGATACACTGTATGCTAAGCACTAACCGTGCAACTGTCTACTTGAGCGAAAACACATTGTTGAACGAGAAATTGTTTTGTACTATGGATGAAGTGCACAAATACTCGTTCACATATATTCCACTCTAAACTGAGAGTATTGACATATTGATGCCAATTCAATTCACGTGAGCCTCAACTCACTTCTGATTTGTTATCAACCGAAATTTCGCTATGATATGTATGATTGACTCTCAGTATGAATTTTCCCTTCATGGAAAATAAGTCATTCTCATTGGATTCAAGTGAAGGCGTTGAGCCCACTGTTGGAGATATTATGTACAGAACGATCAATCTCCTTATTCATCAATGGTCGATTTGCATATCTGACTGCCAATGAATTCATATGCCGCATGGCTGGATGACCTGAGTGGAGAAGTTTCGATATTTGGGATCATATGTATGTTGGAATAACCAGGCGTTCCAAAGAATGTGCAGTAGTTTGCAAAAACAGCGCGACAATTCTGTGGATATACAATAATACATCATTGTTGAGGTTGTTTGACCGACCATCATGCACATAATTCCTGACAAACTGAGTGCATAATTTGATAATGTAGCATTTTGAACCATGTTCGTCATTAACAGTAAGGCGTCGATTGCATCTGACATAGCTCGTTTTAAATCTGTATTTTTAAATAATGTCGCTACCACGCAATCCTTCAATTTGATCTGATCAATCACGATAACGAATCAGTTAATTGAAGTGTGTCCAACGGTATTTGATTAGTGGCATGTAGTGGAATAACATCATTTTGTCGGTTGTATCTCTTCTTTCGATAAACATTGCACAAGTTTATCGACTTGTAGACGCCGTTTGAGTTTGTTTTCATAATTGTTTCCACTTATGATGTTAAACATTATGTATTCGGGTGATCGAGTGAAATGCAGAGAATTCGGATGAATCGACCATGCATACATCAGCCACATTTGTTAAAATTGACTTGACGAGTCTTCAGCTGGATATTGTTGTTTCGAATTACACCAAGAAAATCAGTATTGCGCAACATAGTATTAACTTATTTAGAGATATGATTTATTCTCATGGTCGATTTCATGGAGAAATATTATTCAAGGACCGTTGTACGGTTGTTCTATTCGTCTGTTGACCACACACTATCGGTTATCGAACCCGGAAATGTCGACCAGGTGGGGAACGTAGAGAACAACCGCACAGTGATTCTTAAGTTTCAAAGATGATCTAACGAGGATCATTCCGTCATGAGACCAGCAGAATTCTAGTGATCTACAAAAAATACTTTGGATTAACAATTCATTCTTCAAAGGATATTACTACGGTAAAATCAGAAATATCTGGTTATACATTAAATAAAATGCACTAATACTTTATTCATTCTGTTTCTTAACGTATGTGTGTGATCGAAATTTCATTAAACAGATTTATT